CCCTCTTCATCTCCATCACTCTCACCCATTCCCCCATCTCCTTTTCACTCTATCTCTCATGTCCATTCACCCCTCTCCATCTCACTCCATCTCTCATGTGCATTCACCCCCTCCATCTCACTCCATCTCTCTCTAACCCATTCACCCTTCTTCATCTCACTCCATCTCTCACCCATTCACACCTTTTCATCTCATTCTATGTCTCATGCCCTGGGCTGAGCTACCATCATTTCTTGCCTGGGTCACTGTACTGGCCTTAGAGAATAGTCTTCCCTCATACTCTCTTTCCCTATGTGTCTGTTGGCATCCTGATGACTGGGTTATATTTTCATAATTAAATTTGATTTTGTTACCTTCTCTGCTTAGATTCTTTCAGTGGTTTCTGTGGGTCACAGGAGAAGATGAAAATCTTTAAAGTGGCCTGGAAGCCCTGACTGGGCTCCAGGGCTGGCCTTTCCCCATTCCTGAACCCAGGGAGGCCCTGTACTACAGGACGTTCCTGCTGTGACTCTGACCCTCTTACCTCTGGCTCTGCATTCTATCTCTGCTCCTCGGTCCCTCCCCCTGTATCTTTGTGTCCTGAACGGGGGGGGGGGGGGGGGGGGGGGGGGTGGGGGGGGGGGTGACTAGTTACTGACTCGTGAGCCATCAGGTGAGGAGCAAGTCTGTGGATTCATGACTAATGGGTGCTGGGTAAGTGAGTCACTCTGAATCCCACCTCACTGCTTCTCTGTGCAGTCTATTGCAGAATCAACCCAGCCTTGTTCTGACTGCCCCAGCCTGGGAGCTGCATCCAGAAGCTTCAACCTGGCTTCAAGTTAAGCCCTTCAGCTGCTTGTAGCTCCAGTGTGCTCATCACAGGGGGTGTGTAATCTCAATGACCCCCGTGGAAGACACTTCGGAAATTGGGAAATGCTGACCCAATATGTCACTATTTCAGAATACATAGAGGAAAGAGCCTTAGTGATGTTGGAAATGTTTAAAAACATACTGGGTAATGTTTATCAAGCATATGATATGTACCAGACACATATGTTCATACTTAGCCTATAAAACTATGTGAACTAAATGCTGTTATTTTCCCAAGTTCACATAGTGAGTGATAATTACTAGCCAACACTGTCTCTCCCAGAAGGAGCAGGAACAAATTTCAAAACAGAATCATTATCCACTTTTCTACAGTAGCAGAGCCTCTGTCTCCCATTAGTGGGAGAAATTAAGAACTGACTATAGTCAGTTATACAGAGGAGATTGGTTTTGTTCAGTTGTTGGCCTCTTCTAGGTGATTTACTTAAAGCCAGGGTGAATTTGAATCTGAGATGATACTCAAACTCAGTTTAAGAAGTTCATTTTCTTTTTCCTTGTCCGAGAACTCCTTCCCTTGCCTGAGAATCTCTAGATCTTGTCACTTATGTTCAGTGAYTGGACCCCCTTGTCAATCATCTTAGAGAAAAAAAATCCCCCTAGCTGTTATGACCATCCTTTGTTTACYAATTAAAGCAGCTAAAAGCACTAAAATGCTTCTGTCACACAAAAGGCGCTTCCCACGCTTCTCCAGTAGAGCTGACCTCTGAGCTCTTTGCCCTATTTTTCCCTATCCTGATGGCAGCTTCTTGGACAAATTACCTGCTTTCCTTTTCCTCCTTCTGGAAAGCTTACACTGCCCAGGCAGAGCGTCAACAGTCTGTCCAGCAGGGCCACCTGTGCAGGGAAACGGCCTGCCCACCCTGCCCCACCCCTTATCATTTCAGACCAGTGGCCTCTCCCAGGTCCACACTTAGACTGAAGCAGTCACAGGTAGGAGGTGGAGTCTCAGGTGGAAGACGTAGGAAATAGATTGGGCAGATGAAAGGGGGCAGTTTTGAGAACTTAATGGAAAAGCAAAACAGATGTAACTGAACCTGCCTAAAGTTCTTCCAGGTGTGACATCGTAATGGAGGAAGGCTCTACACATTCACAGAGCAGACTGAATGCAGAGGAATATGGCTAACCTACACATGGACACAGTCACACATCACCACCTGTGACTTCTGGAGGAGGCACTGGCTAAATAAGCTGGCTGCTTCCTTTGTTCATTTGTATGAAAAAATACTGATTTGCATTCTATGTGCCCTTTGAACAGCATCCTGGTGGAGAAGAGGTCTTAAGAGAACAAGCTGGGGGTGATGCTACGGAGAACTTCGAGGATGTCGGGCACTCTACTGATGCTAGAGAACTGTCCAAGACATACATCATCGGGGAGCTCCATCCAGTAAGGACTTTTTTTAGGGGAAGGGGAGTTTTTCTCATTCCTTTTTAAGGCTACTGATTGACCTTACCTAAGTTTAGATTTGAATCTGCACAGAACTTAGAAAGGAATAAAGCAAAAACAAATCCTCCTGATTTTAGAACACCATTTTTGGCATCAGTAAATCGATCTTAAAGTCTTTGYATTTCATGATTGTGTTTTTCATGGACACTTAGAGTCCGAATGTCCTGGCTGAGGCCCTGTTCTAGGGAGCAATTCTCAGTCTTTGAAAGTCCATGGAGCAGTAAATTTTAAAAGGTGGAGGTATCAAACCCGGTATGACATTTTTTGTTTCTTGTTTTTTTTTTTTTTTCCACCAAAATATTTTTCTTAAGAACCTCCCTTCTACTTTCATTAGTCTTGAGAATATTTTAATTCTAAACATGGTTCTGAAATTGTGTTCTGTTAAATGAATAAGCTGTGCCTCATGTGAAACTAGCATATTATCCTCCTCACTTTACCCAAGACTTTTGGGAGTGTTGGCTTTGGTTCTAGTCCATTGGCTGGCTTTTGGAAAAAAACTGGCTGCTTTTGCATTTTATATAAACTCGGGGCTATGATATGAACTTAGGCCCTTCTGTGGCAGTTTTAAATGACTTTGTGGAACTTTACTTGTCTATCACCTAAGTGTCACCTAAATTGTGGGAATGTAACTGAAAACTTGGGAGGGTGTCTCTGAGTTCCCTGGGTTTCAGAGTAGACAAGGGGACTCAGGCTCTGTCCCTTGAGAGAGAGTGCCTGGCCCCTTCCTGCTTCCCTGGCTCTGGTGTGTTACAAGTAGCCAGCCAGGGGCAGAAGAGCTGCCAGGAGCCGGCTCTTACTAAAGAGAAACAAATATCTTCCAGTTCATTTTAAGTGAGCAAACTGAGGAACTATTTTTTAATAAAATATGAAAAGTTTTATTTCATGTAAACTATGCTTCCTGTAATGACTGAATGAGGGAAACGTTAAAGAGGCGCTTTGTCGAAGGCCTGGGAATAGRAAATCCTTTAGAGCAACTTCCACTGAGTAGCGAAGATTTTGTTGTTTTTGGTGGTAGGACATATGTAGTGAGGGAGTTGGCTTCATTATCTGGGGGGTTTATTTGCCCATGTTTTCATCGTCGTGTGTCCCAGAAGTGAATTAGTGGTAATTGGTGAGGTCTGTCCTTAAACATGGCCCAGCCCATCCTTATTCTGTGCAGTCCTGTGCCACAGGGTTTGGAGGGCAGGTTTCAGGCCTGGGCCCTGGTGCTTCTGCTTCACTAGCCTGCAGGGCTTCCCTGACTCAGCCTTTGCACACCCTGGGTTTTTGACAGCCTCAACTGAGGTTTAAATAGTTTATGACCCTATAATCCGGAGATCGCAGGGATTCATGGAGGACATCACATGACTAAGGGATAGATATGCATCTCCAAGGGAATTCAAGAGGAAAGGGGAAGAGTTGTGTTTTCAGCTGCTCCCTAAGTTAAAGATCTCAGTCCAAGTCTAATAAATGAACACATGGTTGACAGAGTAATGGAACTGTCATAGTGCCATTCTGAACTGTGAAACTCCAGATAGAAAATACCTTTTGGCACTGAATCTGCTGTTCCTTTTTGCTGTTAAGCCTGATTTATCAAACTTTGTGTTTAACAGCTGAATAGTAAACCCAAATTGCCAGTTACTAAATAATGTTTTAAAAAATCTCATTAAAAGTGAGCACTTTTTGTAGATAGTTTATCATTTTTCAATGTTCCTTATTTTTTCACTTAATTTTAATTTTTTTCTTTTTTTTTTTTTTCAGGATGACAGATCTAAGTTAGCCAAGCCTTCGGTAAGTGTGGCCTTCTCAAATGTATCAGAGGATGGCAGTATCTTCATTATATTTAAAATCTGTCAGACAAAGGTCTTTTACCTCTCTGAGACCTGCAAAGGTTTGTGTACTTTAGATTAGTATGGATCAGTTGGTGTTTTCTGAGGACAGCTGTGTGTTTATTTTATATAACTCTCAATACTTGAGCTATTCATTGTAATTATCAATAAATATCTTTGAGGACTGGTGGTACAGCTCAGTGGTAGAGTGCTTGCCTAGCATGCAGGAGGCACTTGGTTTAAACCTCAGCACTGCAAAAACTAACTAAATAAATAAATAAATAGATTTTAAAACTRTGAAAAGCTATTAGCACTTCTTAACTAGAAGATTTGACAGAAGCCTTTCTTTCAGAGAAGGTAAAATGTGATTGAGTGGAGGCCTTTCCACCTAGATCCTTGAGGTCACTGCCCTTGTCTCCTTCTCGGCATCTCCTGGGGTGTACTGAGTGTGCAGTATGTGCTCATTTACACTCTGATTCCTAGCTCTCACCTCTGAGCTGACCACCTCTTTTGTATTTGAAAATAACCYTGGGGTAAGAATTGATGGGAATAGCAGAAGATCCTGAGACGTGCATGTAGGCCTGTGATTAAAGAACTGAGGAGGAAAATCTGCTTCAAATGATGGGAAAGTATGATTTTTCCATTTTGGTATACTGTTGGTTTTCTGTAGAGAGCACAAACAAGACTCTACTAAGCTTGTACCCAAAACTGGTGAACTCACAGCCTAGCTGTGGCCACAGGACTTTGTCTTTAATTTATAACACAAAGTTATCAATTCAGTAGCGTAAGTGTAAAGGCCATCTTCACCTCAACACTCAGTACAATGAAAGCCTTGGGTAGTGCTGTTTGGTACAATGAAATTTCATTTATATTTTCTTTTTTCCCTCTTCAAAAAGTCTTAAGTTCCATGTTGGTGATATGAGTACTCCAGGAAGAATAGACTTCAAACTTTAAATGGCATTTGCAACAGTTACATAGAACCCTAGATTTTCCTGCCTGGTGTTCAGGGTGTTAATAACCTTGAAGCAAAGTCATTCAGCTGCAGGAAACAAGGGTGTGAGGAGCCTCACCACTCTATGGTTTCCAGATCTGACTCCCATCTTAAGCACAGGAACTTTTAAAACTAGATACAGTTACTCTCTTCAGAGACTTTATAGGTATATCAACTTTTGAGTTTTTTTTTTTTTTTAAGCCTCTCTATGGAGTTTTTGCTTAAATTAGAACAAAGCTGAAGGAGGGTGTGGCAAGAACTTGCTGGCTGTCTGAGAGGCAGATGAAATATGATCACTTTTTCTAGGTCTGTCTTCCTTGTGCTTTCAGTTTACCAGAAGAAAAGAGGGACCTTAGATGTTTTTTACTTATGTATCTGAGTTGCCATCTGTCTCTAGTCTGGAAAATGTCCTCTGTGGTCTGATCTTAAAATGTTACCTGCTTGGGCTGGGAATGTAGCATGGTGGTCGAATGGTGTCCTGGCACACACAYGGTCCTGGGTATGATCCCTAACACCACATAAAAGAGAAAAAAAGAACCACGTTGCTTCTTAAAATGTCTAGTTGAGTTTTGAAGTGAGATGTACCGAGATGTACCAAAGATTATTAGCTTAAATCTGCCCAAGGGAAAGCTTGATATCAGATTGCCAAGTTTAAGATATTCGTAGACAGGGAAATTACACATTTTTAATTAAATCTATCAACTTTGCTTATGGAGAAAGTACCCTTTATTGGTTATAATTTTCAAACCATTGTGATATGAATTTCTCTGTGGCTCTTACAGTGTCCCAGTAAGATCCTCTCAGACTTGCCAAGGGTGATAAAGACAATGAAGTTTGTCTTGCTCAAAGTCAGATCCAGAATGGAGTCTAGCACACAAMCAAGGCTTGTCAGCTGAAGACTCTTAACCCATRAAGTCCCAAGTTTGCAATTCTACAACTATTTCAGGGAGAGAAGGTGCATTAAAATTGGTTGGAAATAATAATTTAGAGCTCATCTGCAGTATTGTAATTATACTCTCATTATTATGTAAATCCAATATATACTATATTTAAGCTTTAATCTGGGATGATGGGACACAATGGCTTAAGCTTCTGAAGGCTCTGGGCTTCCCATGAAGCATCACTCTCAGTATTTTCAGGGAGAAAGTCTGCCATAGAAAGACCAAGGACTGAGCTAAGCTAGATGAACTTATACATGAGATGACACTGGCTTAGCAAAGGTTTGTTGGGCTTTGCATGTTTATATATGGAGCTTGTCATAACATTGATTTACATAAGTCATTATACATGACTTAACCAGTTTAGTTGTTAACCTGTATTAACTCCAGGAGTAAACAGGTGGGGAGCTTTCATAAAGGCTAGAGTCTTCTCTCCCTGTTCATCGTGGATGGATCTGATAGCTTCATCTCCAAACTCAACTGAGGCACCACAGAGCAGTGGTCACTAAAGCAACTTGCTTTTCATCCAGGTGCTAAGTGGTACTTCGAGCTTGCTTTRATTCTCAAGCATCCTGGGTTATAGGGCTAAGATAATAAGAAAAAAGCTACATGATTTTCTTTAGGTTCTGTTCCTTATAGAATTGCTGTTGCTCTTTGTGGTGATGTGCTAGCTGTGTTTTAACATAGCAGCAATCTAACTTTATAGCAGTGTTATCACATTAGTTCTTATGGCAACCAAGAAGGGAAGGGAGAGATTATACAGAGCTTTCAGCAAGTTTGGTAAAACGTACATGCTTGTGCCTGGTGTGACGTGGTGTGTGTTGATGTTTGCCCTCTGTTTGATGTTTATGCCTGACTTTTCAGTGTGATAGTACTGTTTGACCTTTAGTGAGCTTGTTGGTTTCAGAACTGAGTGTGTTTTTCTTTTAACTGTAGTAACATTACTTGCATATTTTGATGGTTTTTAGTATGCTTACAAATTTTATTTGCATAAACAAAATTTTAAAAATCTTGTAATAGTTATGAATACTTCTTAAAGACACTGAGATTTAAAATTGCTTAAATAGATAATAAACATAAAGTTTTACTTTTAAATGACTAATTTTTTCCCCACTGTGTCAGGAATCTTAAAGGCGATGTTTCAAGGTTGGTCGGTTTCATAGCTGCATTGCTTGCACTTTCCTGAGGGGCTTCTGCCTTTTCCTGGAGTCTCCAGGTGCTTTGCAGAGTGTAGCTGTGCTCCCTGCAGACCGCTGACTGCTTCACTAATGCTTATACCTGTGCTGCTGGGAACCGCAGGCAGGACCTGATGAAGCTGCCTCCTYCATGGCCACTTTTGTTTGAAGCACTAATACTTTTGCTGGTGTGGAATATTAAAAATGCTTTTTAACATGACCTTGAGCCCAGAGAAGTTCATGTTTTACCAAGCCTTAGTTTTTCAGCTGTTTGGAGAAYTTAGCATTTTTCCAGAGACGTTGTCAGCTCACTTTATGGTACTCAGAGAGGAGCTGCTCTGAAAGGCACTGGAAGATAAAACAGGGCTTATTTGGCAGTCAGGCAGAGCAGTCCCTGAGGCCCATCAGGRATCTTGCTGGTACTGTCTGGTCAGAGTCAAAGCAGGCTGGGAAAAYGTGGTAGAATGTTAGAACTTGAACTGATAGCTCTTATTTTTTCTTTTTGGTTGACATATATTTAATTTAAATTAGATACACATTAATATCCTGCAAGATTTGAACAAAATAATTTGTTTTTACTAGTACTTCTTGTTTTTGAAGAGCTGAACTGACCCTCGTAGAGATGACAGTGGGGTTGTGTGTGTGTTTCCGTGTCTCTGTTTTTAGTTTCTGTCAAAGCTTTTAGGTGCCTATTGTGTGCAGGATGTTTTTAAAAATCAGAGTTAGTATTTGACGTTTTAAAATTATCTAGATTATATTCTTAGATAATTTAAATACGTAATTCTTAAACTTTTGTGTTCTGGGGAAATTGATGAAGCTAGGATTTTAGTGAAAAGAGGTTTATAATATAATTTTCCTTTTCAACATTTTTTAAAAATGACATTGAATAAAGTACTCTGGTCATATTTTAAAACAGGTGTTCAGTTAATGGAATAAATGCTTGGACACTGCTTTAACTTTTTCTCTTGTGTTCCAGGAATCTCTTATTACTACTGTTGAGTCTAATTCCAGGTATGTGGTGGTTTTCTTCTACAGCGGTGGTGGGTGGAGGGCTCCTGAGTCAGAGGTGGACAGGGCTTCTCCCCGATAACTTGTGTACTTGACTTCCCATGGSTTCCTCAGTGATCATCCTGGGGCCGACAGGCTCTGCTCTGTGGGGCTTGCCATTCTGAACTGTCAGCTGCAGCGGTGGCACACGCTCTCCACAGCGACCCCAGGTCTTGCCCCTGTGACAGCCCTTCTAGTAACCAGTCCCATGGCTGCTCCACCAGACGGAGGCCCTTGTCCTCCCTCTTGGCCCATGGTCAGCTTCAGTTGTGGTGCCTATTTCCCTGGGCATGATTCCTTCCTTTGTCATTAGTAGGCCCTGAAGCTGAACCAGTAATCTGAGTGTCATGTTACTGGCTTTCAAGACCAGATTTCTTTATTAACATTTCTGGCAGCTCTACCTTATTGACTTATATTATGGCTCCCAGCCCCTTTTTGACCAAGCTCAAAACAACATATTTGTATTTGGCCCTGTCAAATWTAACTGCCCCATCTCTGGTGTTCTGCAATATTCCCATTCCTACTGTCAGTACTTCACCTGCTCTTCACCGACGTGTGGCTTCCTCCTGAAGGGAACTGAAAAGCCTCATTGAGACCAAGGTTGCACTTGTTCCTTCCGTACTTCAACTCTTTATACTGAGCTTGAGCTTCGAGTGAGCTAATTAATTTAAAGGTTCATGTCTAAATTGAAGCTCTTTCCATTCTGTTGTTGATTTGACCCATCATCTGTAATTGATAGTCAATCCAAACTGTATGCTTCAAACTGAACAATATGTAGGTCATGCATTTTTGTGAATTTAAGCCTGTAGATCACTGACTCAGAACTCTATGTGTTCAGTTCTTCAAGTTTAAATCCACCAAGCACAGGTGTCAAGATTAGGTTTTAAAAACAGAATCTCAGAGTGCWGAAACTGAGGTGAAGGTAGCAACCGGAGCACTCCTGTGGCCCGGAGGCCTTCACTGGGCAGCTCAGGCTACCTGACCTGCCCTTGGCTTCGAGCTGKCTGACGGCCCACCCCTCTGTGAACCTTGGCCTTCTGATTCTCCACTTCATGTCATTTGAAATTCTTAATGTATGTGAGTAGAATAAAACATGTCAGGAATATTCACTTTTATTACCTTGTAATTCATAACCTGTAGTCCATGCCCACAAGAAAATTCCTATTCCTGGGAGAGTCTCTCTGTATAAAGTTTGTGGAAATAGATTAAAGCTAGCAGGATAAAGCAATTGCCAGTGTTCTCAGGCACTCATTAACTGTGCTCACTTCAATTCTAGCAAAGCTAAGTTGCCTTTTTAGCTAAATTGGTTATAGAGGTGAGAAAAGGTCCACAGTAACCTTTTATTATAAGGAGCAAGGATTTGAGTTCCTGCACTGAACACCTCCTGCATCTTTCTAGTTGGTGGACCAACTGGGTGATCCCAGCCATCTCAGCCCTGGCTGTAGCCCTGATGTATCGCCTCTACATGGCAGAGGACTGAATGACTCTCAGAAGCCGTAGAAGGAAAAGGCTGCTTTGGAAAAAGGAGAAAAGAAGCCAAYGTTAATTACTTCGACTGATAGAAACCTTCGCCTGAAAAAATAATTTTAATATGTTCCTCTTCTTCCTACACTAGAAACAAAATGAAAAGAACTGTTCTTTCTACTCTTAAACTTTTCAAATGTGCCTTTTTATTCATCAGCTTTGTTTTGATGTTTTCTCACTGTGTAATTTACTTATTGTAAGCATGATCTTATAAAAATATATCTGGCTTTTAAAATATACCACCATGTTGCCTGTCTGTTCAGTGTGGGCTTTTCTTCAGTGGTTAAGATCTCTGGTCATGGAGGTCCAGCTCATATGTGACTTGAGGCGAGGGCACAGCCCTTGGAGCATCCTCGACATTGTTGAGCAGTTCATATGCAGTCACCCCCTATTTCCAATGCCATTTCTTTTTCAAGGATATTAATAAAGGCTCAGAAATTATAGCTCAAGAATTTATAATAATTGGTTTGCTTAAAACACATGAAAAAAGAGAAAGTAGTCTCCAGGATACAAGAGAGACTGCCTGTCTTCTTTGATAGAAAAATGCCAGCAGCATAACAAGGACCCACGGCCTGTGAGAGCCCGGCAGCTGCTCATTCTATCACTTTAAAAACATCACCCCAAAGAGGCTCCCAGCRTTACCCTTTCCCAAGTTCTGAGAGTCCTCCTTCAGAGGTGAAAGCAGTTTATTTCCTCGCCTGAGGAGGTGCTAATTACCTGACTTGTCAAAACAGTTGGAGGAAATTAGGGACATTTTGTCTAATTTTGAAGCAGTGTAGCTGTAGGTGWTGGGCCACGAGGAACCCTGGTTGGCTTACTTCCTTTTTAGAGCTCTGGATTGACTGGGYCATCTCCTTTTCCATTTGTGGTTCTCTGCCTCATGTATTATTGTTAGGCTATTTCCTTTCAAAAATAGAACCTCACGGGAGTAATTTTCTTGATCACTAGTAAGTTTGTAACAAGATGGGATCTATCCTGCACATTTCTGCTAGCCTATTAGGGGACTGGACATTGGTGACATTCTTCAAAAATAGCTAAATACATTGAAATTTTATTATAATAGAGTATGGGTTTTTATAATCAATGGCATGCATTACCCTTTGCCTTTTGTGTCACTGAAGCAGTGAACGTTGGGCGAGGGATGTGGAAAGGTGGCTGTATCGCAAGGGAAACATCTTTCAGGAGAAAGCATCTCATAGACACGGGATTTCATGTTCAGATTTTAATAAACATGTCTCTAACAAAACCATGGACTTGGGGGCATTCTTTGACACCAGCACCTCTGAACTTTGACACTTGGCAGGTATTAAGTCAGTAAGCTCTGGTGTGCATGGGCTGTGAGGCCTGTTAGTCACAGTAGGACAGCAGTCAATGAAAAATGCCTGTGACGACAGACTGGATAAGCTTCGATGCAGTGTGGCTGTCCATGCAAAATTCCTCTCAGACATGWCCTTTCAGCATCATTAGGAAAGGGTTGTCTGGGAGGTGAGTGGGACACCACAGGCCTGGAGGTCATCAGTGGGTGCTTCTTACCAGTGCTTTCTGTAGTCCACACTTCCAGGACCCCCTAGGAAGGCAGAGGGTGTCTGGTGAATACCATGCTGGGGAGATGAAACTCTGAGGCGCTTGAAGATTTCTCTTGAGTGATTATTTTCAAGTTTTATAATTATTCCTGGTGAGAGTTTTGTTGTCGCTGGTTTTCCCTTTATTTTTATCTGGAAGAGTTTGGTTGTGAACTTGGTTTAGTTTGCTAAAGTTTATCCTCAAGAACTTACTAATGTTGGAGATTATACAAGTACGTTTTACTCTAAATGTCTTGTATTATCACTCTTGTGTTCATGAACGGTTAGGTGAATGTAACGTGCTCTAATGACAATGTGTGTGGTCATTGGGTTTATATGTGCCATTACTATCACTTTCATTAGCTGACAATTTCGAGTCCTGTCTGGAAGTCACGCCCTGTCTCAGGTGGTCCTGTCATCTTCCTCATAATCCCTGCAGAATTCTTGGGGTGCAATAGCAGAKCGGGGAGTTTCAACTTAGGCTTGTAAGACTCCTTTACCTCTATTAAAAAAAAAAAAAAAAACAAGGGAGGCTTGTGTGCTCATTACTGACTCGCGCCCTGGGGCCAGGGGCCAGGTGCTGGGTGTGATGCAGGGACACAGAATGGAGGCCTTCGGGAATCCTGATATCAGAAGCTGCCTTTGCACAGTAGTTGTGAGAGTAGGTAAAGGCAGTGGTGAACCAGGTCATAAGATGCCGTGGCATATCTGAGAGAAGCTGCTTGCCTCTTGGACTCTGGACAGGCTGAGGAGATGGGGAAGGGCCTGTCCTGCACRGGGTGACACTGCTGATGTCTCTGCTCTGCTCTGTGCAGTCACCCCATTTCCTCTGCCCTCAACGTGTACCTCCAGGTGTACTGCCCAGAATAAAGCACACCGTAGGATAAAGGGCTGAAATTGATGACCCCATGTGTATTTCAAAATAAACCACAACACTTGTTAAAGGACCTCTGCAGATAGTTAAGTTTTTTAGGTTGTGGTTTCTAGCWTTAAGTCTTCAAATTTTAGTACTTTTTAAGCCCTTGCTCCTAAATTGGCTGTGAAGTGAATTGAAGTGAGTGTAACGTACCCTCTGTGGAAAGGATCAGTTTGTAAGTAATTTTTAACTTCTGTTTACTTTCAGAGCCGTAATCTACAGTTGAGCTTTGGTGTTTTTATTGCTGACTTAGCAGTTTGTTGCCTTGGCTGCTGGTTTTTCTTTATGTGTGTGGAATAAAGGAGAAGGAAATTGTTTATGGTACTTTCAACATTTAGAGTTTGTGCAGCCAGAATGTCAGGTTAAAAAAAAAAAAAAAAAGTACTTCCTTTCCCTTAGGAGAGTGTGAAGGTTCCCAAAACTCTGTTTCTCACTTCCGAGTGAGAAACTGGAGCAGGTGTCTGCTTCCCTTCCATTAGGAGATCTCTGGAACCTTCTGGAAGCTGATTCCCTTATGAAGAGTAGCCTTTCTGAACATTGTGTGGACTTGCTGGTGTGGAGAGGATCTCTTTCCACACCCTCAGTGTGGAATCTGTCAGTGTCTCGGGGCTGCCTGGGCAAAGCAGCACCCACGTCAGCACTCAAGTCCTAGCTGCAGCTTTCAACAAGGCGGTGGTCTTTCGGGTGCTGTGGACTCCTCCTCTGACTCCGCCCCCTCTGTCTCTGTTGCATAGACCTTCTTACCAGTTTGTGACCTCATCTCAAGTGATCACATCTCCACTCAATAAGGTGCCAGGGGTTGGGACTTGGCATCTTCTGGGAACACAGATCAACCCATGGAACATTTTCTTCTGAAATGGATGTGGCAGTCATGCCAACTCCTCTCTATTTACTGCCCTGAGCTCCCTCTCTCCTGACTTTTCAGGAAAGAGGCTGTCTCAACTTCTGCTGGGGGAYAGGATCAGGGGGAGAGTGAGCAACAAACATTTGTTCTCACAGTTCTGGAGATAGCAAGTCCAAGGTCAAGGTGCCTGCAGATTTGGGTCTGCCAAGGGCTGCTTCCTGTGTCCTCAGTGGGGAGAGAGGAAGCAGGCTCTCCTGGGGCTGCTGTAAGGACACTGATGCCATTCATGGGTGGCCCTCCTGACTACACACAGTCCTCACCTCCCTCTCGTGGGGAAGAGGGTCCCACATGTGAACTGGGGAGGCAGATTTCCCCTCCATCTGGAGCTGAGAGCTCATTGCCCTGGGGCATGAAGAGTGGGGCAGTGGGAACCCTGCACACTGGAGACTGCCCTCGAGGTGGGCTCTGCCCTTCCCGTTTCCTGTCTGACCTGCGTGGCTGGGGTGGTGCAGGAATGGGGCAGCAGCCTGTTGGTTGTGGTTTCAGATGTGGCACGTGGTCAGCAGTGGGGAAGCAATCTGCACTGAGCCAGAGCCCTGCCTCCTTCACCCCCTGAAGACTGCCCCAGGAGACTGTGTCAGGTGATGGTATGGTCGTCTTTTGGTGACAGGTTCACAGAAAACCAGAATTTTATTCCCCTGGTGTGTATTTCTGTTGTTGAGAGGTATGATGGATTGAAAAAAGACATTAGGGCCTAACAGAATTTCTAATTCTGGGTAGAAGAAATGGAAATAGAAAAAGGAACAGTGTCATTTCTGTCTACCAAGAAAGAGCAAACACTTCTTAAGGGCAGTGATGGCAAGTCTTCATGATATTTAAATGCCACGGAGTATATTTAAACAAGTCACAGCTTTTATTTTAAGTCAATATTTAAAATACACCAGAACTATTTGTAAAGATTTAAACTCAAGATGAAAAATTGTAAATGACAATTGAAAGTATTTTTCAAATTCTTTTAAGGAGTGATTTTAGGTAGAACATGTGGAGACCCTCTCTTGTAGACCTGTCCTTACATTTTTCCTTGATAGTGTATATTAAGTGGAGTTATGTGCTGTATGTTTAAACATCAGGGTGCCTGAACATTTTTATTGCTTTCAAAATATTCAATAAAGAAATTGCTTTATATTTGCATTATGCTTGTCATGTCACGTGGCCGCTCACAGGAGATCATTTTGCACTGTCATCAGCATTTCCCAATGGGAAGCTTATAGAGAATGTGACCAGGAAGGAAATGGTTCCTGTTTGCAGAGCTCAAGTTGCCAGGAGTGGACACAGAAGGCGAGAGTCGGTGGTCCATGCCTGCACATCTAGCCGCCTAGAGACCCTGCACTCAGGTGAGGGTTCACCGGGAAGGAAGGCGCTTGCTGTCCCTCGGCAGCCTACAGTCAGTCTCAGGAGCAGCAGGAAGGGGCACCAGGAACTCCCACAGGTGTGGAGGTGGGGTTGAGAGGCTTCTATAAGATGTATTTTGCAATCAATCAATAAATATATGTTTGAGAGATTGACAATGAGATCATTATGTAAGTCCTGAAACCTAAGTCGCAGTTGTACTCATTTTTTGATTGAAATATGATCATTTTCAAGATAGAAAATGAAACCCCTGA